TTAAAAAAATAAAAAAAATTATAAATATATATTAATATTAAAATAAAATATTATTATTAAATAATATTTTAAATTGTTATTCATTGATTATTATATTAAATTGGGAGAATATATCCCAAACAAAATTAAATAAATTGAATATTTTTTTTTTTTTTTATTATTTTTTTTTTCATAAATTTTAATAATTTTTATTCAATTTTGAAATAAAATTAGCTCGCCAATATATAATAATATCTGTAAGTTTTAATATATCTCTATTTTCCATAAATATTTTTTTTTAATAATTTTTTTTTTTTTTCTTTATTATTTCCTAAAAATGAAAATTTTATTTTTTTTTTTTTTTTATTATTTTTAAAATGAAAACAGATAAATTATTTTTATTAGTATGGAAAAATTTATATTTAAGATCATTAATATTTCAAAAAATTAAAGATCATAATGAATATATTAAGAGTTTAAGGTTTAGGAGTGCAGAATTTAACCATATTCAAGAAATAGCAGTGTATCCATACAGAAACTATTTAAAAAAAGTCAGCATTGCAAATAAAATACAAATAAATGTTGATCTGGAATCAATTATTCCAAGAAATGTCGAATCGTTAACTCTACATCAAAGAACTATTGAATTTAAAATTCCACATTGGATCAAATCGTTAACAATACCAAATCCCGTGACACCAATGCCTATAATACTTTCCAATATTTCAAGTTTAGAAACACTTAAAATTAGTCGAGAAAAAACAGTAGCTTCCAAAATTACAGGTTCAATAGATAATCTCAAAGCTGGTGATTTACCAAACACATTAAAAAAACTAGAGGTTGGATTGAATCATTTTCATATAAAAGATGATTTACCAAATGGTTTGGAAACTCTAATATTGGGATATTGTAACGGATTTAGAATTGGCACTTTACCATCCAGTTTAAAGGAGCTTTATATTAACACCACAGTTACAATGGTACCTGTTGGCTACAATACCAAATATTTATCAACACCAGGTTCTCTACCAAATAGCATTCACTCTTTAAAAATAGCAAATTATGGTCAAACCAATATCATTTATCCAGAATCACTTAGAAATAATTACTAAGGATTTAAATTTCAATTTCCCACAAAATCTAGAATCACTTACACTCAGAGAATACCCAAGAACCTCTATTATAAATATATATATAGTTTTCCATGTGAATTTGAAATAACAAAATGTAGATGTTGAAAAAATTACAACCTTTATAAAAAGAATGCTAAAATAAAGTGCATTTTGCACAACTAAGTGGTGTGACCAACTAGTTGAGATAAAATATATTTGGAAATTTCAAAAATATATTTTATCTCAACTCCT